CCTCCTATATGTCCTTTCTTAGAATGAAGGCAGGTAGAGGTATTCTTACTAGGATTTCAAAATATCTTCAATCAAATTATCTCCTTTTTTCAACAGATGGGTCGAGGTCTACCACCTGGAAGCATTCCGCCCCCTCCCCCAAGTGGGGGCAACTGGAGTTCCCACCCTCCACCACCTCGTGCCGGTGCCCCTCTTTCGCTCTATCGTGTCCCTCCGCCGTCCTCGTTTGGTGGTGGGCAAGGTAGACAACCACCACCGAAAAATTGATTTCTCCCTACCACTCCTATCCGTATATTGTACATCATCACCACCCCTACAGACGCGTCTTTAATAGATGAGTGATAAATGTAGCGCTGCCCCCCTCACCCCTCCCCACTTCCCCCTGTATATTTCTCTATCTTGTCGCAATGAGGAATTTTTAATCCTAATTATGTATTGCGGTGCGTTTTCTGTCCCCTTTTCCCTTCCTTTACTTTCCTCTGAATCGATGTGCTCATTTGAATACGCCCCTCCCCCACCTCCGCCCCCCTCCCCCTCCCACCTCTACTGTTCTCTCCTGTTCCTCTCTTTTTTACCTCTAACATGAATTTCCACTTCTCTATATATATTTATCTTTCGTTTTGGATGTTCAGACCTCTGCTCTTTCCTCCGTTTATGTATGTGTGATATGCCGTATGTGATGGTGATGCGTATTCTGATAAACACTCCCTTATATTTTCCAAACTCATACCACCAGAAATTCCTCTTTAAGGGAATTGAGGATGGCGCTTATGTACAGTTTGGATGGGTATCGACAACATGAATAAAACTAGTCTTTTTATAATTGGGCAGTGTTTTTGTTTTGTTGATTACTATCGATTTCTCTGTGGTCATCTTGGTGTGTGATTTCAGTGAAGGTATTGAAATCAGACGCTAGGCTCAGAAGTATCAGCTTGTAAAAAGCCTTTAGGAGTGCAGGGCTTTCTCAATTTAGAAGACTCGGATAATCCGTCCTATCACCGCAGGGAGAGAAATTTGAAATTTGAGGTGGGTCCCAGTCCAGGCCCACGATGACATTAAATTGTAGTGTTGTGTAAAGAGATAGTAATGAATGTCTCATTCATAACCCACTTTGGAATGATTAGCCTAAAAGTAAAGGTGAGGTGAGGTATAGGGTCGTAATGTCGACCATTTTATCACAATGCAACCTAATATGGCGAGCGCAGTTGGCACATGCTCCGCGCCATCTTCTTTTAATAGCTCACGAGGGATCGATGGCTTCGTCCGCTCCCAATTCTTCATTAACAACGTGTTTGGTGACATACTGTGCAATGGGCGGTGTTGATCGTTATGCTTGAGCAATGAATAGAAATATCAAGCAATAATTAGGTTAGTGTTGGCAAATGCACGTGGATGTGTGTCTAATAAAATGCAAGAAGTTGCTCATAGCTAACACAATGCTATTGGTTCTAGAATATGCTCAAATCAAAATAGAGTAGTTGACTGAAACTCAGGAGAGGAACATCTGCAGTTTAAACTGGGTCCTTCTCCGAACCATTGAGTATACGTGCATCAAGTGGACAGCTCAAAATGAATAATACGAATAGCAGTTTCAGTGTCACTGTTTTTAACAAGTGCAAAATTGGAATCAAGTAGACCAATAGCTTGAATGTTAATAAAATCTTTAAAGTTTCATAATTTAAAACTTTGAATTGGGGGTTACCCCTCAATGACTTTGCATAATTACCACTTGTCACTTGGCAGCAATAGTACATTTGCTTTAAATAGTTTTGACATTGCCGTGGAATAACCTGGGATTAAGGGTGAAACAGAATGCCTCAAATACGGTACACTTCGTGAAGGCGCAGAAAATAATTCGATAAAAGTTTTAGTTTCAGTAACTGAAGAATTGAGTCATCTTTGTCCTCATAAGTAGTCCCATTAACGTGGCAATGTCCTGATGCACAGACTTCATAAACTGCCTTTTCGAATTTACGAGTGAAATCAGGCTAATTTTGTTTGATCACGTCATCCTGAGACCGATTTGTAGTTTGTTAAGGTCACGACCTGACACTAAGGACATTTTCAACATTTATTCAAGAGAGGTCACTCAAAACGATGGGAATCGTACCATATGAGAATCAAGAGGAACTTAGTTAACTTGATTTCTGAAATCAACAAGCTGTTCACTCTACCCCCAGTTGGCTTAATTTCCCGAATTGATTTTTTGATGTTGGGGTGTGATAGACTTACCTCCACGTGGATCACCCTGGGCAACGTATTCTCATATGGCAAAAAAGTCTATAAACCGGCAGTTGACTTCTCACTTCAGCAAAAAGTCTATTAACCGACAGTTGACTTCTGACTTCAACTCATATGGCAAAAAAGTCTATAAACCGGCAGTTGACTTCTCACTTCAAATGACCATCACCCCACTGAATGTCATGTTCGACTACTTCAACCGTACTCACCTCACCTTTTTTTCCAACTTTGTGTCTTTCTCTTTCACATCTTTAAAACACTCTTCTGTCCCCCCCACACACCCTCTCTCGACTTTTTTCACTTTGATGTTCCTTCCCATCTGTGAAGCCTGAGGTCAACTAAAGGGCTAATGATAACTATCAAAACGCCTGCCATTTGATATAAATAAATAAATAAATTTTTTGATGCTCAAATTTCAAGAAACGGGACCTCGAATTCCTTATGGAGTTCACAGTTAATAATTTTCAGCGTTTCTCGATATAAGTTAATGGATGATATTCATGTTGTCTGAACTGAAAGCTAAAAGTGGCCATATTCTATCAAACCAAATTTTACTAAAATTTCATTAATATTTCTAGGTTAAGCAAATCAACGAGAGATTTTCGACTTTGTGAACGCAATGGACTATTTTTAACCAAAAATAATTACATTTTGATTAGTTGTTATTAATAATTTTACATTATTGTCAAAATACACCACCATTATGCGTCTTTGCTGAAGGCAATAGGAAACTTGGAATTCGCGACTTTTTGGGAGGATTTCAAGAGAGCAATCACCTATTTCTGCTTCGTCATGTCATGTCAAAGCCATAGGAATCCAGAATGCCAATTAACATATGCCTTAATCGAAGGTATCTATGTCACCCTTAACGCAGTCAATGCTAATAAACGTGGCTTGATGTGGAGGCAAACGGTAAGGACCGAATTTCAACAGCTGTCATCACAACTTTTTTTGCTATAAAAATGACAGGCGTCTACAAGCAATCTGGTCACAGTTTAGTTTCCAAAACTATGCCTACGCGCTTTAAATATGAAAGGCTCTCTCTCTCTCTCTCTTCCTCTCTAGTCGAGAGAGAATTGCAAGGCACTTTAATTGCCATTTGAAAGATTGCTTCAGCTAGACAGGTTGGCCATTTGAGGAACATGCGCAGTCACCGAACTGGGTAAATAAGTTGTACAATGGAATCGAGCACAACTTCTCTTAATTCAATGACTGTGTTGTAGTTTTCGACGCGTAGACGTTGCCTTTTAAGTGTTCTCATAAGAATAAAAATCTAGTGGTGTGAGGTCTGGTGAAGAGGGAGGATATTCAGCAGAACCTCTTCGTCCAATCCGCCTGTTTGACAAGACCTCGTCAGGGTAAGACCTTACATCGCGATGATAGTGGGTGGGGAGATCAAAGTTCTCTCTAATGCTTGACATAACAAACTGCTGCAGAAAGTTCAAATAAACGGGACCGGTTGCAGTACAAAACAGTACAGCGCGTTTACATATTTTGGGACACCCTGTGCACTCTGTTCCGTGGTTTTTTTGAAAAGATGGAAGCCATTGTGGTAAAGAGAGTGCCTTCTTTCAATTCTGCGTTATGCATAACACCTCTAGCACAACCCATCCTTAAAAAATATCTTTTTTAATTGCCTATTTTTCTCACAAATGGGAGATATATTTTGAGTTAAAGGGTAGTTAGAAGCATGCAATAAATCAAAATAAATGAGTAAAATTTGTCTAAAGATATTTGTGATTTTCTTTTTAAACAAATTTTTAAACCCACTATGGGATGTTTAAGAGAGGTTCGTGTGTCTAACTGCTATCTTTTACTGTTTCTCTGTTTGACCACCATCCACATAACTCGATGCACCAAGATGAAAATCAATCCCTCAATATTTCTGCCAACATTGAGCAAATCTTATGATTGTAGTAGACAGAGTCATAAGTGAACTCACAAAGGTGATTGGCATTGTCCGTTAGCCGCAGTTGTAGAAACGAATTCGTACTGACGTAGGAAATCTTTGTGCAAGAATGAGGTGCGGTGGTTTCTACTTGTTACGGCCGCTGATAAACTCACAGCGCATTGCCTGAAATACGTGGCCTAATTGACTTGGTATCTTATTTGAGGAAGTAGATTGTCACATTGTGGCGAAAAGTGATTAAATAGGTGAATAAGGGTTAATTTATTAAGAAC